ATAAGGCGGGTGTGTACAAGATTCCCTACGAGAACCAGCTTTTAGGAATTAAGAAAGAATATGTAGGGGTTACAACTAGGAACCTAGGTTTAAGGATCAAAGAACACAAATATGATATCAGAAAAGGTTCTAATGCGACAGTATTGGCCCAGATGGCGCAGGCAGAAGGTTCATTGGTACATTGGGATAAAGCCGAAATCCTGAAACAGATACACTCGCCGGCTTTGGCAAGAACAGCTGAAAAGATAGAAATCTATAGAAGCAAACTTGAAGAAAAATGTATTAACGCAAGGGATGCGGAGGGTCTTCCTTCTGCTTGAAAGTTTGCGGTTAAAAGCTTAAAAAAAAGCGCATGAAATTTAGTATGATACATAGTAAGCTCTATATAGTTTGGCAGGCGATATTAATATTTAGTATTGGTATTATGTTATTTATTTTGAATATTTGTATTATTTACAAGTATTATTTATTTTTATGTTATCGGTTTATTTGTATTTTTGAATATTTAAATGTGTTGTTCTATTTATGAAGTGTTCTATTTAACCTGAAGATGATCCAATGAATGGATTGAAAACGTCTGTTTTAATAAAAATAATCTCTCAGAGAAGGATAAGGTGTTGACTGCATATTTAATTATTTTCTGCTGGGTATAGTTGTGGTTTATATATTTTTTGTCATTTAGCTGCCTTATCATATCCCGAAGCCGCCATGGGGCTGAGTGGTTAGGTCTCTCGCCTCACACCACTAAAGTCTCGGATTCAAATGAAGAGAGGAATGGGCTTGACAATGATCCTGCTCTGGGGGCCTGTTGTAGGATGTGGAGGCCATGATACTAGATATTCTCTTTCAATTGTATAATTTCATCTTTCTGTAAGAAGTCAATCATATAAATTCTTATCTATTTTTTCTAATTTACATAATAAATATTCACTTAACAAGAAAAAAAAAGCCAGATAATAGTTGAAAATTTGTCTTTATGTTCTATTTTATTCATATTATTCAGTTATATTATGAATTCAGCATATTATCAAATTTCATAAATAGTAATCTATATGATTTTATGATATTTAATAACAACTTACTGAAATATTCTTAGTTTCATATCAGCCATGCTCATTTGACCCTGAAATGGATGCCTGAAAAAATTTTGAATTACATTATTAGGCAAAATAACAATTTTATTACTCTAAAATATAATCAAAGAATTGAAAATAGAGAGAGAGAAAATTAAGCAAACAAGAACATTTATAGATTTACAAGCTAAGGCAATTTAATTTCCAAAATGCACCTGTAGAAAAAATGTGCATGTACCATATCTCTGCACTAACAACAACTGTTACTTGCAAAGTAATCCCCTTCCAGAACTATGCATTTAATGAGACTGCTGCTGCCATTGTTGGAAACATACCTGGAACTCTGTTTCTGAAATAGTTTCTTAGGCACATGATGCTAGTTGTAAAAAATATTGAAAATTTTATCCTTTTATGGTGATTTTTATTTTTGGGAAGAGCCAGAAATCACAACCAGAAATCAAGTTGGATCACAAGGGACTAAGTCAGATAACTAGGTTACATGACTTTAGTCCCTTGTGATCCAACTTGATAATTGATTTCATCAGGAAATTGTGAACACTGAATGCATCATGACTTGAGGCATTATGATGGATGATCCATTTGTAAGGCCATAGCTCATGGAATTTTTGATTAAAGAAAAGACCTAACTTTTCCAGCAATTTTAAATAGCATTGTTAGTTGACTGTTTGCCCTTGTTCAGTGAATTTGTAATGGATTATCATCTTGTGATTAGAGAAATGCATGAACTGTTAGCACAATGCATGCTGTTTTTTGATCTGGCAAATGTGATGTTTTTCATTACATGCATTTTGTTTCTGAGTTACACTGGAAATACCATGTTACTTATAATATCCTTGTTGAACATATTTTCATCTGCAGAAAGATCAATTACAAACATTAATTGTTTGTGTGTGTGTGCTGTTTCTATGCATTTGTCAAAATTCAAGACAAACTGCAAAAATTTTTTACATGATTATCCAATGTTAAAATCTTTACTATTTCTATATTCAAATGTAGTTCCTCTGCTATTAACTGCACATTTAATCATCTGTCTGATTGCACCAAAGCTCACACATTGCCCATATTTGCATCTGTCCTGTGTTTTTGGCTGTCCACTTCTGGCATCATCATTCAAATATTATTGTGTAAAGGTTCTTCTTCACCAGGTACTGGTACAATATATATAAAAAATATAATCACAATGAAGTTTTGATTGACCAGTAAAAAAATTATTTGAAAAAACAAACGTTTTCGACCATATTCTTTGGCCTTCTTCAGGTTAAACGTGTCGATACTCTCGACGCATACCAATTTGACCCACTAGAGGGACCTACCCAATAACCAAACAAAAGGTTTTATGACCCTTTGTCTTAACCTGTTCCTTTGTTAGAACTACTGTCTGTCGACACGTGCGGACGCTCGTCCTACTGCTATGTAAAGACTTTTGTACATTAATTCACAGATTAAAGGAAGATACCTTAACCAGTTTAATATGTTTTCATCTGAGTGTCTCTCCACTGATTCTGAATTAACCACAAAACGTTCCGAGATTCTAAAAGCCGTTGTGCTTAAAGATTTAAAAGTTTTGGAACAAACTCAACTCATTATGCGCCTGCATATCAAGCATTGAATTTACATACACATGAAAATACATTAATTATAGTTGTGGGGGTCTTCTCCTTCCAAAATAAACTTCCAAGCTGAAGAAATATTAATTGTATCCTTATAGTTGATGCAGTTATTGCGTAATCCTGCTTTATATATTTCCAGAGTTTCTAGCGTTCGTATGTGTTCCCTTCTGTATGAAAGTTTAATGACTCACGCGTTATGCAAGTCCGCATTTATGTGAGGGGTGGATGCATAAGTAGATAGGGCAGTGGTGCATCTGTTATGATTGATGTCATATTTGTGTTCGCATATACTCTTATCTAGAGAGCGTATCGAGGAGCCAATATATACAAGGTCCCTTAGTGGGACAGAATATACCCCTGGAGCCAATCTTTTGTTTATGACATTCTGCGCATTTTTGCAGTTGCGCAGAATGTCATAAATGGTACTACGCCTCCTATATGCAATTCTCTTGTTCGTACATGCAGCAATTTCTCTGTAAATCGGATCAAGGTGGTGGTTATATTCAACCACAGCTAATGACTGAACCTTATTGGAGTTGTTCGTGCGTGAGCTATCATTGTCATTATTATATACTTGCGATGAATAGGCAAATGCAAGGTTCTGAATTAATCTTGGCCCATAACCGTGTCTTGTGGCTATTTCTTGGATGCGTTATCCAAACATAGCCACTAACATCCAAGAATTATTCTTCCACAAATCTGACCTTTTTCAGTGAAAATTCTCTCTCAAATGCCTTATAACGCCCAGTTAATATTGTTTTTTGACTGTTTGCCCCTCTGGAAGAAATTCCGAGTGGACAACATCATGACAGTCAAAGAAAACAGTCAACAAATAAACCATGTCAAAGTCAACAATAAACCATGGACTGATTTTTGAGTGACCTCGACATGGTTTATTTGGTTTTGACTCATTCTCGAAGTGCCATTCCAAAGTTTGTTGGCTGGTTTGCATGTCAAACTCATAAACCTACATCTCTTCACATGTTATGATGTGTTTCACATCTTTGGAAACCTTTTTCCAGTGCTCTTTTTGAAGAAAATTCAGCTCCTTCAGAACAAGTTGTGCTGCAATATGTCTCAGCTCAAAATAGGAACTAAAATGGTGCAAACGGATTTGTGAGACACGTTTAGATTCTGAGCCATCTCTCTCAATCTTGAATGACGATTTTCCATCATAATTTCTTTCACTTTGTTGATGTTTTTGTCAGTTGAAGGTTAAAGGTTAACCAGAATGAGGCAAGTCTTCCACTATTTCTCAGCCATTTTTAAATGCTTTGTATCAATCACTCATATGCATATATTTTGAATAAAGCCAACTTCACCATCTGCAACATTTTCAATGATTCAGCACAAAAAATTTCATTGGTAACACAAAATTTTAGACAAACTCTTTGTTCAATGTTTTTGTCCAGTTTAAAAATTGCAAAACACACACATGTTCAATGACAATACCAACAGTTGTAAATAAACTGGTTGACAAATGACACTATAAACATAGCGTCATTTATATATAATTTATAAACATATTCAAATGACAATTAAGTATACTGGTACCAACTTACAGCAAAAATTTTGTTTTCATATCTTTTATACAGGCTTTTGAAATGGACAATTCCTGGTATTTATTTGACAATGTATGTACTAGTTAAAACATGTTCAGACATGCATAGGCATGTGATTCTACCCACACTGCTACACTACAGGCAACACTAGATGGCCATTCTGGAAATTAGATTGTCATACCATGTAAGAATATAGTTTACACTATAAAAATGTAATTATTTTAAAAAATTTTAAATGCTAGTTTCTTTTTAAATGCTTTCAGCCAATTGCAGAAATGAGGTCTAAGCCACAGCTATGACTTAAATTGTGGTTTTCTTAAACAAATTTTTGTCTGTAGGTGGAACACATGGATCAAAAACTGGTATTAAAAGCTATGAGTTAGACTCTGCTAGAGGCAAATGGAGACTGTAGCACTAATAATTGAATGCTACATTTAGACAATACAGCCAAAGAAATAATTGTTTTAGTTGTTTGCATTTTCACTGAATTTAACTTAAAAATGAATGTTTTGCACATTTGAATATTTGTAACAGATTATATCAGCAAGATCAAAGAAATAATATTGTCATAAGAGTTCAAAAAATAATATTAAGAAATCAAACAAATCTCAAAATATACGAGGGGGGCCCAAAAAACCGAACTGAGAGCACGCTGTCATTCGTAGACATAATAGAGAGTTCTCCCGTTACATGGGGTTAGTAGAGACCTTCTCGAAACAGCTGTCCAAACGGTGTCAGTTTGTAGGTTTACGTTTGAGCGTAGTGTTGTGTTTCTCTTACTGTAATTTTGTGAAGTTCTGGGAGTCCTTCAACATCTCGAAACGATGAAAACATTGAAAAAATCCACCAAAAAAGTGTTAAGACATCTGCGAGAGGATGTGTGTAGGAAATGCCCAAAACTTTGGCGATCAGGTGACTGGTTCCTTCATCACGACAATGCCCCCGCACACACGGCCTTATGGCCTTAAGAACGTTGAGAACCGTTGCTCTAGAGTATCCATATATACACTCAATTTGATATCTTAAACTAAGCAAATAACTTCGAGAAATATTTAAAACTATGTAGAAATAATTAGTCTAAGAGAAAACTTTCTCCATTTTCAGAATCAAAAGTAAAATAATATAATAACTATATTTACTTTTGATTCTGAAAATGGAGAAACCTACTTCTCAGAAAATTAAACTGAATAAAATTTAAAGATTCCTTGAATAAATCCTATTGTTGTTGTAAGATTTAATTTTTGAAAGCTAGAAATTATACTGTTTTGATCATTATTAAAAGGTCAAGTTTATAAATTACACAAATTAATACATTACCCTGGATTAACTTCAAAAATACCAGGATGCATGATACTACTCCATATTTTATAATTATGAGTGGTTTTCCAGGCATTCATAAAAGATGGATTAAAAGTTTCATATTCTTTGCTTCCTATGATTAAAAAATAACAACACATTTTTTTTTATAATAAAATAAATAAATTTTTCATCAAAACCACACCTTTCATACTTTTCCAGTCTGGGTTTATTTAAGATCAACAAACAAACATTTTTGGTTTATTCACAAACATGCTTCAGGTTTACCATTAGCATTTGAAAAATATAACATTTTGAAATTTCACAGTCAAGTGTATTCTATGATGTTAATGTTTAAATTTAAAATATTCAATCCATAAAAATAAGTATACAGTAAGACCCCACTTAATGCAGGGAATACATTCCTAGATGACAAAGCACTAAACGAAACAGCATTAAACAAGGCACTTTTAACACAGAGTAAACAGGGAAAGGGGGACACGTGACCAAAAATAAACAGATTTTACTTTAATTTTAAGTTATTTTTATATTAATTTGCACAATAATATATGTTAAATAACACATAAACGTGCACACAGAAATGTAAATTTCATTTTTGTGATGAAAGTCCTGGCTCTTCTGAAATTCTTGATTTTTTTCTTATGTTAAGCAAATGTCGGTAGCTAAAGATCACATTTAAAATGCCTCGTCTTGCTTTTGCACTCTTCAAAATATGGATCATTTGCTACAATTTGATCAATGATTTCGGTTANACAAACAAACATTTTTGGTTTATTCACAAACATGCTTCAGGTTTACCATTAGCATTTGAAAAATATAACATTTTGAAATTTCACAGTCAAGTGTATTCTATGATGTTAATGTTTAAATTTAAAATATTCAATCCATAAAAATAAGTATATTTTAAATTACAAAGTGTAACTTAAATATATCACTAAATTATTATTGAATATAATTAAGCACCTACTGGCCCCAATAATTTGCTGTATAAAGCTGCCCCTTGTTTCTAGAGTGTTAATATCTTATTTGTGTTACTTGAGCCTGTATTGTAACAATCTATTTGTTGTACCTATGCACATAAGTTGACATTTGAATCTTTCATCTGTTATTTGAATGGAGTATGGTGCATTGTTATAGTTTATATCATCCTTATGGTGCATTGTTATAGTTTACTGTTACATAGCAACTTGTACACTGTGGGGTTTCTCCAAAAGCAAAGTTTAGCTTCCAAATATTTAGCTATCTGCTTGTAAATGGATGAGAGTCTATGGTCATAATCCACAGTTATTTGCCTATTTGATGTATCAGGTGAATGTGTGTTGTATTTTCCAGGAGTAGATGGTTCATAAATTGAATTATTCTACTTGTCTGATTCTGTATCAGTTTTTTTACTGTACTCACGTGCTGTAGCTATTTTTCTATACTTTTGAGCTCTGCTACAGTGTTCATGATGTCCAAGCAAAGATGTATGCTCTTCTGATTAAAGCCCTGAATGCTGTTACTTTATAAGTAAAGGAGATATATGACTTCAATGGTATAAATAATGGATGATAATCAGGTTTGTAGAACAACCAGTTTTAGAGAGTAATATCTATGTCTAGATATTGGGTTGCTGTGTTGCTACACTGTAGGAGAAACACAATTTCATGTAAGGTCTGTTTATTTCACTATAGCACAATATATATATCATGTAAATTGTTTCCTTAAATGAAGATTTGTTTATTTAACTGATATCAGAGTGACTCACTACCATCTCGCAGTCTAGCCAACCTCTTTCATCTGGAATCCGATCGCCTACATACGCAACCTCTCATGTAACGAACTCAAACAAAAATAATTTTTTAATCACCATCATGGCTCCTGTGTCTGTTAACCAGGACACAGGGATGTAATTCGGATGTGGCATTGAAGAGGTGCCAACCCCATGGTTACACCAATAACAGATGAAAGATTTAAATGTCAACTTGTGTACAGGGTTCCTACTCAAATTTCTGTTTTGAATTCCCTGACTTTCCCTGACCAACTTTGTCCAAATTCCCTGACCCTCACATTTTTTAGTGTGGAATATCAACATAAAAAAACAGCATTTACTGTTAACATTGAGTACATCTAGCCCTCTTTTTGCACAGTTGTTATGCTTCAAAGACTGCCATGTTAAAAAAATACAGTACATACATCCTGTAGAAAAATGTTTGATAGAATCCACAACTTCAATGTAATGAAAAAATAAGCAATTTACAAACAAAACACAAGCTTTTTATTTTATCATCATTTATCATTATTATTTGTATGTAAATCTAGTAAATACAAGGTAATAAAATAAAATAATCAACAAACAGTATTCTTTGATAAACAAATAGTACTGTACTGTGCTTAAAATGAACTCTTGACTTAGAAACACATAATTTTAAAATCAATTTTTCAAGAAAAAGAGTAACTTTTTTTAAACAGCAACGTAATTTTAACAAAAAGTTAAATTTAAAAATTTTTAAATAAAGCATTTTTCCTACGTAAAAAAATCAATGGTTGTAGTGTACATAAAGAGGAATAGGTGTAAGTTTATACTATAGCTTCTCTAACAAATGCATCTAATTTATTGTAAAATCTTTTTATTTTTTTACAAAATGGACAATCAAAATACAGAGAAACTTCTTAGTATTAATCCTCTTTTTTCAAAATACAGATAATTAGAAAATAAAAAATGAATTACAATTCACAAAACACAAAAACTATTATATTAATGTAGTTTTAGCCTTTTCTCCTCAAGTGTATTTATTTTCATTTCAAACAATGGAAAATCCGACTCCAATCCAAATGATTGATCTTGGGAGCTGCATTGTCTAGACCACAGGTTCTCAAACTTATTTCGACCACTGCCCACTTTGAGATTTAAAAAATAATCTAGTGCCCCTATATTTTTTAATTTAACTTTTAACTTAACCTTTTTACATTACCATCTGTTGCATATCTTAAAAACAGTTATTGCAAATATAATGTTTAAACATGCATTATTATATGGATAGGATAGATAGGGTGTGACCCATATCCTATTTCTGAGATCAAAGAATGTTTCGATGAGAAGAAATAAAACTCATATTTAATCACTGAGCCTTCTACTGCACCCATGAAAGCCTCCAGCGCCCACAAAGGGGCGTTATTGCCCACTTTGAGAAAGGATGGTCTAGACCAGTGTTTCTCAACCCAAAACTCATCGCAGACCAGAAAATATCTGCTTTTTTTAAGCGGACTGGTGACAATATTATTTTTAATTGAAAAAAATTCTCTGTTGTAAAAAGAACTGCAAACTACATTGAGCAATAAATATTTGTTATTTACCAGTACATTAGTATGCAAATCAATATGATTGCTGCTTTTCTTTTTTGCTAGTAAGATCATCAATTCTTGGATTTAAGGTGGTAACTGCAAGGCGTGAGATAGAGCTAACACTGTAATAATTTCGTTGTTTCAATTTTATCATTACCATTGTTGAAACGTTGATTCACATAAGTATGTTGATGAAAAAGATAGTAACATACTAACTGCCTTTTCATGTAAAACTGGATATTCAGATTTAACTTTAATCCAAAACTGTGTTATGGACATTGATTCAAACAATGTTTTAAATCCTTAATTTAATTAGTTTTTCGTGTTCAAAGTCGTTCAATCTATTAGTTTGCTATCAATAAATGGATTAATAATCCACATATTTCCTATTTTGGAACAATGCATGACAGGTTAAATATATATTTTTAAAGTTTTCGCGGACCGGTCAGATTAGAGTTGCGGACCGGCGGTTGAGAAACACGGGTCTAGACTATTCCTCAAGTTTCTATAAAAAATTTCTGTTCATTCCTTTTTTTCTCTAATAATTAAATTATTTTACGTTTTTCTATTTTAGTTCCGGACAATTCCGGAACCTCACACTTGTATTCCTATGAAGTCATAGTATTACGAAAATTGGGATTCTTAAAACTTATAAAATAAAATAAATACAGAAATAAACAACAAACGAAATTACAATTATACGTTATTAAAATATAGAAGTTCAGCGCAGAGAATCGTAACTACAAATCTCTTTCTTTTGCAACATAACTATAAAAATTGTTTTGGTGTTGTTTCGCACAAAAAATAATCAAATTTATTTTAATTTTTTAGTAATGTAATTATTTTTTTTTAAATTTACAGCTTTTTAATTTTTAAATTTTAATTATAAGCAAGTTAACATTGGTTAAACTATCGGATTACCTGTTGATTTTCGAAAATATAACTACAGAATATTTATTACAAGCATGATCAATCTTGCCAGTTTTTAAGCCCTAAATTTGCCAAAATCAGTGATATTTGTTACCCAATGTCATTTCAGTTAACTAATTATTAAACTATGTATCGAAGTTGCGGAAAAAAACGGAAGAGAGAGGGAAAATATGCTTGCAGTACAGTACATTCAAGGAAAATCGTAACAACAAATATAAAAAGCTTGTGCCAACAACAAGTCAGCGCCAGTATTTTACTGTAAACGTCGGGTAACTATTTATAATATTTTATGTTGTTATGTTTTAAATGTAAAAATCAGATTTTTACTGATTTATTTAGCTATTTTGAAGTGAACATTCTAATAAATTACGATTTCAACTTTTAAAAGTTTGCAAACAAATTTTTAATTGGTTATTTTTTTATTCTAATAAACAATTTCATCTTTTTATAATCGCTGAATTATTAAAATTAAAAATTAAACACTATTACATAAAACTAGTTTATCCTGTTATTAATCCACAACTGTAAAATTATATGGCTTCAGAATGGTGAAAAAAACCATTTCAAAATGGATTCTGGTGTATTTTCTTATTAAAGATTGCAGCAGTACTTCTTGCCGCCTGCAGATGGCTATGATTGGTCATCCATATTCAGCAAACGAGATCAACGATGCAATTAAGGAGACAAATTACCTGACTTTTTGACAAATTTCCTGACTTTTTGACAATTTTCGACAAATTCCCTGACTTTCCATGACTTTTTCCAAACACTAATAAAAATCCCTGACTTTCCCTGATTTTCCCTGACTTTCCAGGTGCATAGGAACCCTGTGTGTATGTAGGTACCATTAATAAATTGTTACAACACAGGCTCAAGAAACACAAATAAGATATTAACAATAATAAACCAACAACCACAGTTTGCAACAGAGCCTGGGGGTCCACAGTACTAACAAAGCTAAGATTATAAAACTAGTCTTGGATGAGCAGCATTCACTCAAAATACTGGAGATCTACAAAGCAATATTTAAAAAAATGAATGTATTAATTATAAAGACACTGATTCCCTTTCTGGTGCCTGGAAGTCCTCCTTTGATAACCCTCTAGAAACAAGAGGCAGCTTTATACAGAGAAAATGCAAATTATTAGGGCACCATAGTTGCTTACTTATATTCAATAATTTAAAATATACTTATTTTTTACAGATTGAATATTTTAAATTTAAACATTATCATAGAATGCATTTGACTGTGGAATTTCAAAATGCCGTATTTTTCAAATGCTAATGCTAAACCTGAAGCATGTTTGTCAATAAACCAAAAATGTTTGTTTTTTGATGTTAAATAAACACAGACTGGAAAAGTATGAATGGTATGGTTTTGATGTTAGTTGTTCCAGCATTATTACTTTGAATTAAATAAATTTTTAATGTAATTTTAAGCATTTTCATCGTATCTAGCATTGGCTATTCTTAAGTTTTACAACAAAATTCTATTATAGTGAAAATGAGAGTTATTAATGAGATTATTTATGAAATTATCAAAATTTATTAAAAATTTGAATATAATACTTTTTATGTAAATGTTACAATTATAGAAATATTAAAATCCCATGGATTTCTAAAAAGAAATATTTGATTAGAAAAAAATAATCTCAGAAATTTACTAACAAATAAACAAAAACAGATCAAACAAAACAAATTGACTTATAATCAGTTTAACAGGAATTAATTTTGGTGAAAAAAAGCAACTACACAAGAGGGTGATCCTTATTTTTTAAGTTATGGAAAGTTGGACAGGGCATGTTTTGAATCTGTTTTGTTATGAAAAAAAAATTCTGCAAAAAAACTAATATCTACAATATCATGTAGGCAATTCACAAGTGAAATGGTTACAGTGCATTTTTTGATATAGTACTACCCTTTCATAACACCAAACAAACTAGAACAGATGGTGGGTATTACATTAGGATTGGATATATTTTTAATTGCTATATTTTATATGAACATAAGATAAATATTTAATATAAAGTTATTAACAAGTACACATGTATACAGATACAGTATAGCATCAATTATCTAAATATTTAAATAACCAAAATCAACTTTATAAAAACTAATCTGAAAAAATAGTTTTTACATCATAATGATTATCAGTAATCTTCTGTAAGCCCACTATTGAGCTATCTCATTACCAACACTAGTATTAGGTTTTACTTATTACAGTACAAATAGAAAATATTCTAATGCATTGAATAGTTCACTGTGCATTAGAAACAGCTTGACAGAAATGCAACCTGAAGCAACTTTTCAACTCTCACTGAGATAAGCAAGAGATCTTAATATAACTAACGAAATATAACTTAAATTTTTATTTATTTTCTGTTTTGTTTGTTTTGTTATATTTTATGTTTGGGGTTATGTTAAACCTCAATTGATTAAAAAACTTAAAGGAAAAACATTTACACCAAGTAAATGGACCAAGTTTTGGACCTTGCAATCATTTATTGCACAATAAAAATTCCACTTACTTAAGCCTGTAACCGATGTGAAACGGTAAAGCTGTAAAGCACAAAGAATAAAAAAATCCAGCTAGAATACCTGAGGAGGAACACGGAAGGTGTTCAGAAAATGTTTGTGCTTTAGAGTTTTACTATTTCACATCGGTTACAGGCTTAAGTAAGTGGAATTTTTATTATACAACCCGATGTGCGTGTAGGAGTTATACATTTATTGCACTCTTATACTTCGTTTTTTCTTTCTAATTCTGTTAAATCCCTGGCTTGCTTGATTGTCATGACTCATGATGCAAGGTCCAAAAACTTTAAATAAATTACTCTTGCCTCAGAGTTTGTAAAATATTAAAATAACTTTATTAAATTATTAATGCCAGTACTAGAACTTCTGACTGAAAAGAAAAGAAAAAAAAAACTTTGTAAAGCCTAAATCATTCCCCCCTTTCCGGAAAATGGGTTTAATGAACAAATGTGTTTGGTTTATTTCATAAATCTGTCTCAGGTTTCAAAGTACAAAATTCAAGAGAGAAAAAAAAAAAATACATTACAACTACAAAAACAATATAAAACTCAAATGTTAAAAATCTTCAATCCAGTAATTACAATAAAATTAATTTTTAATAAAATCTTTACCAAGTTATAATTATTCATAATCTAAAATAATTAACCTGATCAGAAAAAAACCTAGCGAAAAAAAAAAATCCTTTAATTAGTTACCAATCATTTGCAATTCAACATCTAGCCATTCTCCAACAGAAATGGAGACTAGCATGCTGTGTCAATTTGACAGTGTTCTTTTATTCATTGCTGATTTGCACATTGAACATGTTGATAAAAAAATAAATTTTGCTTAACTCATGTATCTACTAAAGTCTGTTTACAAAAATATTAGTAGTTTATTATTTAATATCTATACCGTGTTTCCCCGAAAATAAGGCAGTGTCTTATATTAATTTTTGCTCTGAAAAATGCGCTAGGTCTTATTTTCAGGAAATGTCTTATTTTTTCCAGGAAGAAGAATTCACATTTATTATTGAACAAAAAAATTCCCAAGTCGAACTTAGACGAGAGTGACGTATATCCAGTGTGTCGAACTGTTGCCTTTTTATAGCGTCAACATCGGACTCGATGACCGATTAGTGCTTACTGAACTGTAGCACTATGCAAATGTCATGTGGCGTGATTCCCGGCCGACCAATTAGCCATCACCAGCCGTAATGTTATGCAAATCTGTGATTCCCAAGCCGTAGTCATATGCAAATCATGCCATGTGGCGTAATTGTCTGCTGACGAATCAGTGGCTGTACTTTCAAAAAGCCAACGGCCACTTTCAACCATCTGTCAATGACCGTTAGGACTAAAGAAAACTTCGCTAGGTCTTACTTTCAGGGAGAGGTCTTATATTTCGCAATTCAGCAAAATCTGTGCTAGGTCTTATTTTCTGCAGATGTCTTATTTTTGGGGAAACACGGTATTTTAGGCATATTTAAACCGAAAATTAGTAATATGAAATTCCATTTATTATTTAGCTAGAAAGTGTTAAATAGCAATTGATGGTTAACATTATTCAACTTTAAAACTTAGTAACTGAAACAAAATAGAAAATTAGTAATGAAAAAATAAAAACAAATAATAACTATAGCAAGAGAGAAATTTAATCTAACATCATGTTAGATTAAATAAAACTTTCTGTCCTGCTATATTTATAGTTATTATTTGATTTTATTTTTTCATTGTTTTTCATATTTACATATTTCAGTTCTTTTTTGGAAGAAATGATTTCTTCCAAAACAAGAACTGAAATAAATAATTATGTGAGTACTGTACTTTATTTTTAATAATAATAATACTACTAATACTGTATTCACATAACACTACACAGTACTCGCATAATAATAATAACACACTGTAGATTGCAATAAAAAAAATAGTGCTTGTTTTTAATAATTATACAATTTTTTATTTCTTATTTGTATGCCTTACAATTTGTATTTATTATTTTTGTTTACTACTGTATTAGAATTAAATACTTTAACATAAAATTATTATTATTATTACTTTTTTATTCTCTCTCTACCAAGTGTGATCAGTTATCCAAAATTGTCCTATCCTAAATGTTTCAGATAATCAATGCTCTACCATAATCCATAAAGATAATTTTTTACAAATATTTTTATAATGAGAAATGCTTTATACATCTATTAAAGTTATAATTCATAAAAAATCCAAATATAATGTACAGTACCTTCTGAAGCAGATGTTCTTAATAAACTCATTAAATATGCTTTGAACTGTGATCTGAGCCATTCATCTCCACCTTCCCATCCTAGAAGAAATTATATTTTTAAAATAAAAATTTTTTGATGAGCACAAAGATTCAAACAAAATATTCAAAGGGATAGAACAAACATCTGATTGGATGAGAGAGTGATATTCACTGCAATCTTTTACAAATGAAAATAATTTTTATATGACTTCGAAATATGATCTCCATACTGGGAGAGCATTATCCTTAAAATTGATGGCAGTTTTTTTACAGGCTATATATATACAAAGTGTCCCATAACAATACAATATAAAACATATAATCACAAAATCTGTTCAAAGTGTTGGTGTAACAGACATTGAAGACAACAAAATTTCCATTGCTTCAGTGCATGATGGATCACATCTGGCAAAATTTTCTAATATGATTGCACAATATATTCTTAAGGAATACCTTGTATATCTTAGTTTCTCCAAATTCTTGGGTTGTGTCTTCTCCCTGGTATGATGTATTTGTGTATTGTCAAGGGATACTTGCACCTGGTTGTCAGTCACAAAAGCTGCTAAGGCAATGGTGGTGAGACTCTTCTTGATGGAAGACTTGAGAAGGTCCTCAGCAACATAGTCTTAACGACTTTTGTCACAGACAATCAGGTACAAGTATCCCTTGACAATGCACATATAACAAGGAACATACAAGGAAGATACAAGGAAGAAGGAAGATACAAGGAACATACAAGGAAGAAGACCCATCTCAAGAATTTGGAAATAGATATAAGTAAAGCCTGTTGAAAAAATACTGCCATCAATTGTAAGGACAATGACTTTCTTTCCCAGATTTAGAGGTCATAGTTTTAAAGTGATATAAAAAATTTTTTCATTTGGAAACAGCTGCAGTGAGTATTACTACTACTATCCAATCAGACTTTTGTTCTATCTTTTCAAATACAGTCAACTTGCATTAATACAAATTGCTACAGAAACAGCTTATTGACAATTTCCATGGTCAAGTTTGTATACTTTAGGGAGTTAAGGTGTAATAGTGATCAAAATCTCTAAATTATAATATTTTGAATTAATTTACTAAATAAAGTTAAATAAAATTAATTTGTTTTTCTGAAGAAATTTAATGTTCTAAATGATTTTAAAATCATTCTATGCACTCTGATATGCAAACTAGCATGTGTTCACTTGGGACAGCATCCACTTAAAGGGATTGGCACCCTTAAACTTTAACTCCTATTTTCTGAGTAAAGTAGACTGCTCCACTAAAACCAGATGTTTGAATTGCTCTATTGAAGATTTGTTATTGTTGTCAGTGATATATGGTATGTGAATTGTTTACAGTATTTTGTTAAATAGGAGTGATGTTAATAAACTTTGCATACAATCAGAGATCAAACCAGTCTTTGCTTATTAGGAGAAGAAAATTATTCTACTCAAGATGAAATACTTATTACAGCACCACTTTTTATTGTTCACATGAAAGTGTAAAAAGCAACCTTTATTGGTATGAAAGTTAATTCTTAGAGGTTGTGAAGGTAATTTATAGTTTAACAAATTTTGGTAAAATTTTTGTTCTCTTTATTGCATGAAAATTAACACTGTAACAATGGTGTTTAGCCAGGGCAATTCTGCTTTAAAGTGAGAATTCACTTTATTGGTGTTTGTTTTAAGGCAAGTCAACTGTATTTTGTTCAAATTACTTTTCCATTTTAGAACATTTATTAATGGCTTATTAATGAGATTTAAACAATATTCTGGAAAATTAATAATAATTATTTTAATAAATTTTATTTATTTTTGTCATCTGTACCATTGTATTAGAACACACTTTAAATTAGAAATGAACACACTAGTAATTAGAACACACTTTAAATTACAAATGGATTTCTGTTTTCCAACAAATTTGAAAATTTGTGTTTACAAATGCATAAAATAATTAATTTTATATATATAATAGATATTTTAATTAAATAAAATTATTTACATTAAAATTACTATAAGTTCATGCATATATTAGTGATAAATAGTCTGCATAAAATTATCAAAAATAATTTTAAAACTCATATAACCTGTAAAACTGTAAGACACTGTCTCTGAAGTTGCTGTTAAAAACATCATTTAAAGCTATATGCAATTTAGAAGGTATGGTCTCAGTATTTTGTTTTGTTTTGTTTTTTTGTTTTTTTTTTTTTGTATTTCTTTCATTTTATTGCAAATGTAATTATAAATTAAGTGAAACAGAAAAGTGGAATATTTAAGATGGAACTGCCTAAACTATATTAAATATTGAAAGTATCAATAACAATAATAATAATTACTATGATACCTGTTCAGCAAAAGATGAGCTTCTTTACCATATAAAGACCTGATGAATTGTAATGGTCAGGCCATCCAATAAGATGCTGAAATTCTGTTTCTTTCATCCAGTTACTGTTCAGAAAATGTTATGGGAAAATTTATTTTACTACAGTTCTAACTTCAAACAGTTAACTAACTTACAGTTCTTACTTAATAACTTTCCTTAATCTCATGGCACATTTTAATTCTAAATTTAAATAACTTAAACAATTTGATAACTTCCTGTTATCAAGTACATTTTACCATTATTAAGTATTTCTTTCACATCTACTTATTATTAATTAGCACTTTTAAATTGATTTCAAAATTGTTAAAATGTCTTACAGTTGATAGATATTATGTTGCATTTAAATATACAGTGGTGCCTCGTATAACGTACTTAATCCGTTCCAGGTGCACGTCCGTTAAGTGAAAAGTCCGTTATACGAAACACATTTTTCCATAGAAATACATGTTAAAACACACAATTTGTTCTGCAGCATAAAATAATCGTACTGTACCATAAAAAAAAATGAAAATGGACCAGTCACCAATTATGCCTGGTAGTCAGATGTTGTAAGGAGGAGGTGGAGGAACACTTTCTTCACACATTCATGCAGATACAGACTTTTTACACATTGCAGCAGGTCTCTTTTTATTGTTTTTTAATCAGAGTCAGATTCAGGAGAAGCTACCGGAGCTTGCAGGGTCAACTCCTCTTGTTCCATCCTTTGTCTTTTGGCAGCTGGCTTCTTGAAAAACATGTCCAAGGTGGTCTGTTTCTCTCTCTTCTTCAACACCTGTCGGAAATGACGGGCAAGGGTGTCATTGTAGAGATCATTGATCTTGTTGGCCTGAGCTGTATTTGGATAGTGAGTGTTCGTAAACTCCTGAACCTCTCTCCATTTGACAAAGAAGTCCATGTCAACTTTCACTCCTCCTGATGATTTCTTGCTTTATTAAAATTGAAATAACCTTTGTTTTTTTAAAAGCCATGATTTGCACAATACTTGAATAAATGTAAATACCCTGCACTGAGGTGATATACAGTACGTAATAAACAAGGGAGCAAGCCGAATCCCAACGGGACTCTGTACTTCAGATATACTAATAATATATTCTAATAATACTAATATATTATAAAAATAGCAGATTGTCATTGGCAACGGCAAAAGAATGGAAACATCATTCACACTTGTTTGCAGAAAGTCCGTTGTTCGCCTCACATAACTGCCAAATGGAAAGTCCATTGTTTGCAGTGTCCGTTATTCGAGGCGTACGTTATACAAGGAACCACTGTATTTAAACAATCTTATTTACAATTCTAACCATATCATTAGCCAAAAAATTCATAAAAAAGTCTGACAAAAAAATTTTCCTCTCTCTTTAACTGACATATTTCATTTAAAAAAAAACTCTCTCTTAAGAGAGAACACATTGCATATACTGATAACCTTGATTAATTGAATTTTTTCCTCTATTTGTTGCCACAACATTATCCCAATGCATTACAAATTCTGCTTATGATAGCTAATTAATCAAAAACAATTTTACAAACATTATATTAAGTCAAACAATCATAGGATTACAATAGACTACTTTTCCACAATTATATTTAATTAATTATTAAATAATTTATCACTAGAGAGATGTGTTAGGTGCCATCTCTTATTAAATTTAATAATTATAATTAAATTAATATTTATTATATAATTTAGAATATTCTGGAAGAAAAGAATTGGCCCGGAGCAAGACTCTAACCTGCAACTCCTGCTTACTATGTGGATGCATTACCAGTTGCACTACCCAAGCCTCTATTCCAATCTCCTCTTCCAGACATATTTGAGATTTACCCATCCTTGGTTACATACAGTTTTGACTGGGAGGCCTTCAGCAGCCTTGTCCTATAATCTCCTACTCGTGGCACTCAGCCGGCCATCACACAGCCCTGGTATGCAGTATATATACATACATACAAGGTGTGTGTGAAAAGTTTGGTGAATGGTCCCATAGTTGAATAACCATGCTGGTTAGGATGTCGCACTCACACAGACGTAGTGAGAGTCTTGCCAACTAGTAGCCCCTAGCATTGAAATCGCAACAGTTAAACGGAAGTCTGTGCAACAAACGATGCAACACAGTCAGTGTGAGAAGGAGTGTCACTGCGAAATGAAGTAATGTGTGAACATCAAGTTTTGCTTCAAATTAGGCAAAATGGTGACGAAGACACATGAAATGTTAGTGAAAGTGTATGGTGTGGAAGCAATGCGTAAAAAGTGTATTTTTGAATGGTTTAAACGCTCTGGTCAACCGTCAACAAGCACAACTCCAGACAACATCGAATGAGTGCGATGGATGCTTGTGGATGATCAGTGCCTGTCAAGGGATCACACTGTTTTTGTTTATCTTCAAATCTTCTGCTATCATTCTCAAAGACAGGTGCCAATCATCTGCAAGCATCTGTCACACTCATTTGATGTTGTCTGGAGTTGTGCTTGTTGACAGTCGACCAGAATGCGGCTCATCGTCCACATCTTCCTTTCCGTCTCTGAAGCGTTTAAACCATTCAAAAACACACTTTTACTCACTGCTTCCACACCATACACTTTCACTAACATTTCATGTGTCTTCGTCACCATTTTGCCTAATTTGAAGCAAAACTTGATGTTCACACATTGCTCCATTTCACAGTGACACTCCTTCTCACACTGACTGTGTTGCATCGTTTGTTGCGCGCACTTCTGTTTAACTGTCGTGATTTCGATGCGAGGGGCCACTAGTCGGCAAGTCTCTCACCACGTCTGCATGAGCATGACATCGTAACCAGCATAGTTATTCAACTATGAGACTATTCACCAAACTTTTCACATGCACCTTATATATATATATATATATATAAACACCCACACNGCCGAATCCCAACGGGACTCTGTACTTCAGATATACTAATAATATATTCTAATAATACTAATATATTATAAAAATAGCAGATTGTCATTGGCAACGGCAAAAGAATGGAAACATCATTCACACTTGTTTGCAGAAAGTCCGTTGTTCGCCTCACATAACTGCCAAATGGAAAGTCCATTGTTTGCAGTGTCCGTTATTCGAGGCGTACGTTATACAAGGAACCACTGTATTTAAACAATCTTATTTACAATTCTAACCATATCATTAGCCAAAAAATTCATAAAAAAGTCTGACAAAAAAATTTTCCTCTCTCTTTAACTGACATATTTCATTTAAAAAAAAACTCTCTCTTAAGAGAGAACACATTGCATATACTGATAACCTTGATTAATTGAATTTTTTCCTCTATTTGTTGCCACAACATTATCCCAATGCATTACAAATTCTGCTTATGATAGCTAATTAATCAAAAACAATTTTACAAACATTATATTAAGTCAAACAATCATAGGATTACAATAGACTACTTTTCCACAATTATATTTAATTAATTATTAAATAATTTATCACTAGAGAGATGTGTTAGGTGCCATCTCTTATTAAATTTAATAATTATAATTAAATTAATATTTATTATATAATTTAGAATATTCTGGAAGAAAAGAATTGGCCCGGAGCAAGACTCTAACCTGCAACTCCTGCTTACTATGTGGATGCATTACCAGTTGCACTACCCAAGCCTCTATTCCAATCTCCTCTTCCAGACATATTTGAGATTTACCCATCCTTGGTTACATACAGTTTTGACTGGGAGGCCTTCAGCAGCCTTGTCCTATAATCTCCTACTCGTGGCACTCAGCCGGCCATCACACAGCCCTGGTATGCAGTATATATACATACATACAAGGTGTGTGTGAAAAGTTTGGTGAATGGTCCCATAGTTGAATAACCATGCTGGTTAGGATGTCGCACTCACACAGACGTAGTGAGAGTCTTGCCAACTAGTAGCCCCTAGCATTGAAATCGCAACAGTTAAACGGAAGTCTGTGCAACAAACGATGCAACACAGTCAGTATGAGAAGGAGTGTCACTGCGAAATGAAGTAATGTGTGAACATCAAGTTTTGCTTCAAATTAGGCAAAATGGTGACGGAGACACATGAAATGTTAGTGAAAGTGTATGGTGTGGAAGCAATGCGTAAAAAGTGTATTTTTGAATGGTTTAAACGCTCTGGTCAACCGTCAACAAGCACAACTCCAGACAACATCAAATGAGTGCGATGGATGCTTGTGGATGATCAGTGCCTGTCAAGGGATCACACTGTTTTTGTTTATCTACAAATCTTCTGCTATCATTCTCAAAGACAGGTGCCAATCATCTGCAAGCATCCGTCACACTCATTTGATGTTGTCTGGAGTTGTGCTTGTTGACAGTCGACCAGAACGCGGCTCATCGTCCACATCTTCCTTTCCGTCTCTGAAGCGTTTAAACCATTCAAAAACACACTTTTACTCACTGCTTCCACACCATACACTTTCACTAACATTTCATGTGTCTTCGTCACCATTTTGCCTAATTTGAAGCAAAACTTGATGTTCACACATTGCTCCATTTCACAGTGACACTCCTTCTCACACTGACTGTGTTGCATCGTTTGTTGCGCGCACTTCTGTTTAACTGTCGTGATTTCGATGCGAGGGGCCACTAGTCGGCAAGTCTCTCACCACGTCTGCATGAGCATGACATCGTAACCAGCATGGTTATTCAACTATGAGACTATTCACCAAACTTTTCACATGCACCTTATATATATATATATATNAATTTTTGAAAAACTTACATGTACAAGAATAATACCACTTTCATGATAAAAGTAATTGGTTCTATCCTAGACAATATGGTTTTACACAAAAAACAATAATAATATATGCTCTGATTGATTATCAGACTTATCTAATTAAAACTTTAGTAACATTTAAGTTTATAAGTAAATTTTTATAAACTGTGAATTATTGGTATATACAACTAATAAATTTGTATGTGATATTATATTCTTGAAGCCATGTTTGCTACATTATCTTTAATAGTGTCAAGGGTTAATGTAGCATTTTAAAAGAGATAAGCAGTAATCAGGAATATCCAGAATTAGGAAATTACATGGTTTCATGCAGTTAATGAGTATAGATTCCAACAAAAAGAGTACATGTTGACTTTTGCACTGTTTCAGGGGTTATGTGTCAGCCCAAAGAGGATCAAAATTAGATGTTAATGCTAGTTTGGTATCTCAGTGGTCTGCTTGTCCTCTCTTATATCCCTTTGATGTTCTTTGCAATCAGTTGGAGGAGTTAATATAATCGGTTTTAAGTGCAACTAAAGATATGATGCAAGATAATATTCATATTTTATTGGATGTTACAACCATTGGCAAAATTTATGCAGCTTCTTAAAAAAGACCATACCAAGGACAATCTTCCTTGTGCAACTAATGGCAGCCAAACAATTTATACATTCAAATCAATTAAAGTTAATAATTTCAGACAAGTGTAAACTGTTTGTTCTGAAGAAAAAATCAGATTTTGTGGACAGGACAAATGTATTTCTACTGCAATCCAATTCTGTTCCTCTTACCATAGATCCTTTATATCAGTTAGGTCAATAATTCTTTTAGTTTTGTTAGTATCTGGTGTTAAATCTACACTGGATAATAATCTTGCTTCTCCTCCAAATACAGCTTGCCCAGGCTATTCTTTGAAATATAGACTCAAAGGTCACTTAGTCAATAAGACATCATGCCTAGAATATCTTCTAGAGGGTGCTACCTCATTATTGTCAACCCATGTCCCAAAATCTGATCTTGTAGTTTCTTCTTTACAAGCAAAATAATATGTGCGAAAGACACTCAGCAGTTACAATCCATTCACACATACCCATAAAAATTGATGTAATCTCATTATATCCATTAGTACAAATTTTTGAATTCATCATCTTGGCCAATACACTTATTTGAACAGGGTTATATAAACTATGTTACTAAAAACTGAGACATTCCAACAAAGAATTAACTTATGCATTCAGGAATACAGAATATCATTTGCAATAGGAGAAAACTATTAGTAGCAGGAGGACTCACATTATGCACAGGTTAGGAGTTTCATTAAGAGAATTAGCTGAGCTTCAGGACAGATTTTAAAAATCAACCAAAATCAATGTCTTCTCTTTATCACAAGCATCATGACTAACACACTGTGGCATGAGCTTTTGTATCAGTTTATTATTTTAAGAAAATGAATGATTCCACCAAGTCATAATAGTAATTATTTTTTAAGCATTTTCTTTCCTTTTTTTTAACTCTTTCATGAATGGGTTTACAGGTGGCTCCCTCTTCTCCCAAAGTGAGTTAGTTTATAATTATAAACCCCTTAACGCCCAGTCCTGAGTTAACTCGGGCATGTTACATAGCGTTACAGAAAATGCAGTCCTTTTGGCCCCTCAATTTTTTTTTTTTTATTTTTGGAATGTTTTTTAAGTCTCCAAATTTTTTCAAAAAAACGTTACACACTTTCATTTTAATTTAAATGTAATTTATATATTATTCTTCACTTTGTAGCAACTTTTTAACTGATGTTCCATTTTCAAACATTTGTATGTACAACCCAATATTGATTTGATAAGTGTAAACATTCCTTATATACTAGTGAATCTTGTTACAATTGCAGTTGTGCTCAGGTGAAGTTACTTCCATGCCATCCAGGGTCATTAGCTTAAGTTAATTTATTTATTTGTATTACGTTTCAAGATGATGAATAATATCAAATTGTATGAAATATAAAATGAGAGTAAAGATTGGGTAAAAAGTATTATTTTATTACAATTGTTTACCTTAAAGAAAAACTGTTTATCTAAAATTACCATGTAACTGGATAAGTCTATAAATTAACAACAACAAC